AAAAAAAAAAGAAAATATAGAAGACTGCAGGCTTAGCCAATTTTTGCAGGTTTCTAGAGCCCTGGCTCTCTGCCTTTTGAAGATGAGTTGCTGAAGCTTCTCCCAGTGCCCGAGGCATGCTAACACCAGCAGGATGCGGTTTTTTTCCAGAGACTTAGTGTGCCTTCAGATTTAAGGAGCACATGCTTTGTCACTGCCAGCTGTGATGGTCCTTTCCCTGGCTGCGGTACCGGGAGATGATCTTTACCCAACATCCTTCAGAGAAGCCGTGAAGATAGATGGTGACGTACACAAGTGCCACTTCTGCAGTCTGATTTATGGAGGCATGTTTCATTAGGAAGCAAGTGCTGGCCTCTAGAGGAACCATTATAGATTGCTGAAGATGTGAACACTTTCAGCCCCGAAGGCCTGTAGATGCTTCAAAAATGTAATGCCAAGCACCTAAGTACCGGGGAACAATATTAATCTGTCATGTGGGCAGCTATAGATCTGCTTTAAAAAACGTAAGTGGAAGAACAGCACATCTAATGGAGTGTTTGGAGCTTAGATCTTTCATTGCAGCCAGCGTTGCTTTCAGTAGGGTTTCAGTCGAGTAGCCACATGGTTTTTAAACCGTACGTTCACATTTTGCAAATGCATTCGTGCCTTCTGGTGTTAAACGAAATACTCTGAGTCAGTGGATATGGAAACCGTCATGATCTGGGGAAAAAAATGTCAGCGCGGGAGTTCTGTGCTTGTTGAATTTCTAGGGAGATTGTGGGAGTATTATATATTTTTATTCTGGTATTTGACTTGCGTTGTTTGAAAAGTAGAAGCTTTTAGTAGAAGCTGTAGCCTTCTGACAAGATCTGCATGTTTAATCAAGGAAACAGGCTGCTCGTGACTCCATTTCTTTTCTATATTTCATCAAAACAGCTAGGCTTAATGAAAAGAGGATCCAAGAAGCAGGAAAATCTGCTTTCTGTGGCTTCTACTGAACTGTTGCAGGGAGAGGGAGGTAGATCTTTGTGTAATGAGTTCGGGAGCATGGAATAGGTGGAAAGAAATGGAAGGAGGTTGTCTGGCAGATAGTTAATAATTATTTCTAAAATAGACCACCCCCAAAATGTGATATTTGCAGTCATTTTATTATGCAGGTTTTTAAGTGTGACGGGAAATCAAGTGGTACTGAATGAAAACAAAAATACTCTGGAGGGGTTAGAACACATCAGAAGTAAGAGGGAGCTGTTCTGACTGAATTCCACCCGGAGCGGGGGCACCTTCCCCCCTGCAGCAGCTGGGCTGCCTCAAAAACTGCACCTCCCTCCTGCCAGAGAGGTGCTCCTTCACCTGTCGGTAGGGTTGACTTCTGTGACTGTCCTGCCCTGCTTGCTTTTGCCAACTTGTTTGGTTTTGACACGTGTGGGTCAGGGAGCAATCTCGAGCGGTTCATCCGGCAGATTTGGGAAATCCTCTGCAAAAGGAAGGACGAGGCGCAGACAGCAGGAGTTGGAGGCAGCAACGTTCTTCAGTTAATAGTTGCAGCTGTCATAGTAGGTGTGTTCACAAAGAAATTGGAGGGAATTGCAAAATGTGTAGACTTGGGCTCTTCTGGTCCACTGCTTTGTTTCTGGATTTGCCACTGATATTTTTTTGAGGTATTTCTGAGCAGCCCCATGTTCCCAGCATGAAGGAGCGGAGGCATACAGAATACTTTCCTCAGGGCTCGCTGTGTGCCCACTGGCTTCGCTGTGTCAAAGTAAAAAGTAGTGGAAGTGCAACTTTCACTTTGTACCTCTTATTTCAGTAAAAGCTACATCAGTCATAGTGCAAAATATGAGGAAAACATTTCGCTTTTCTTCCATTTTTAAACAGCTGACGTGCAGATCATTCAGACGTTTCCGTGCTTGGATTTCCTGCTGTCCCTCAGTATGGTGGTACTATTTTTGTTTGTTAACTACTGACAATAACTCCCAGCTATTTTTGGAAAGCGTCAAAACTCTCTAATCTTCAACAATAGTTGTCTCATCAGTCTTATTTAGCCGGCATCTGTGTGACTCCGGGCTCAGGAGCAATGACAAGCCGCATATGAATTCTGTATTCATTAGTGACGGTGATCAAAA